TATTTTCAGCTTAGAGGGAACTGGCTTAAGATGTTCTTCAATAGTCTGAGTGTCTTTATAGTTTGGTATGTGAATAGTATTATTTTTCCTCAATTTCCTTCATTCCATATAGTCCTGAGGAAGCATGTCTTTAGCAGCCACAATATCTGTATGAAATATTCTTTTCCAAGACTCAACTATATCTTTCACCTTCTTCTTATAGTTATCCTCATGATATGCGAATTCGGATCTAGATATCTCATGTGTGACTGAGACAAACTAACATGCCTCATATTGTCGGTGTGCTAAAAGCGGGGAATAGCCAACTCCGCCCCACAACCCAAGTAACATTATTACTCCCAAATCTCCACACCAATAAAGGATGTCACTATGAGTCAACCAAGGGGCTCTCCATACGATGACCTTGTCCTGGAGGTGCATAAATATATATTGTCCACTTTTCCTTTGGAACACTTTCTCTTAATTTTTATGTAAGGAATTCTTCCAAGGGTGAATATGACATGCTGAACCGGCGGTAAGAAACCTCATCATTTTCCAAAAATGACTATGGATCCAAATCTGAAGTTGTTGTGTGCATCCTATAAAATGTCCACCGCTGGTCCTCCTATAATGGTTTAGTAAGCGGAAAGTTTCAGCTAGGATTATTGGTACAGAGTTTACTCGATTTGGTAGTTGTTCAAACAATTCCATCATAGCTGTCTCAATGTACCCCAAAGGTTTTGGGAAGATAACCAAACCATAGATACCCAGTTCTAAAAGATCGATCACCTTCCATTCATCATGATGATTCTTTATTAACTGCTTGATGTGAGTATAAGCAATTCCTTCTCATTTTCCCTTGTGTTGAATCCAATCAATAACCCACTTTTCATCAACCCTACAATTTTTGCCAACCCATTCTTGAAAGGCTAACTTTTTATGTATTTGATAAAGACCTGTCCATTCTAATTCCCTCACAATGTAACAGGGTAGTGTATTCTTCAATTATGGGCACCATGTCTTCTTAGTTGAATGTAAAACAACTGTATCCCGGATTCTAAAATTGTATTAGGGCTCGAATTAGGGGTTTGTCTATCTTGACATAGAACATGTGTACGATATCACCGTATCATTGGCAAAACTTCTATTTTCTGCTAGTTTTCCAACCATCCTAGATATTATGCAACTCCTGAGTATCATTCTGTTTGAGGCTGATGGAAGCATAGCCAACCAAGTCTGACATATAGTTACCCTGCAGACTGTCCCTTTTTTCCTTCTGAGTATTTTCTGACTATAGTCGTATTTCTGCATTCTTGACCTCTTGCATTATAACCCCTTTGTCCATTAATGCCAACTATTCGGGTTTTAACGAACTCTTTTGTAGACCAACACCTCTTTAAATGATGCAAATGATAAAAATGGAAAGAAAAAGAAAAAAAATAAAACAAGTTAGTAAAATAGGAATAATAATTTAAAATTAAAATTTCCTGCCCCAAATAATATTTACCCTAAATTCTTTTTTATTCCTACTCGGACATAATCTCTATCCCATATTTCTTGAATAAATCTTAATGGCATATATTTTAATTCACATACTTTGAACAGAAATAAAGCAGGAAATAAATCAAGCATCGAGGTTTTAAAATGAAGTTTTGGGTGGGAATTCCTTGCAGTGAATAATAATTAAAATTAAAATTTCCTGCCCCAAATAATATTTACCCTAAATTCTTTTTTATTCCTACTCGGACATAATCTCTATCCCATTTCTTGAATAAATCTTAATGGCATATATTTCTAATTCACATACTTTGAACAGAAATAAAGCAGGAAATAAATCAAGCATCTAGGTTTTAAAATGAAGTTTTGGGGTGGGATCTAATTCCTTGCAGTGTCACATTTTGGTTCTAAAAAGGTACTCAAGTTTTCTTTGCAGGTGCCCCCTTGGGCCTGCCAGACCCTCAGTGCTAAGCCCATCACAGACTCATATGAACCGAGTTAAACTCGAGAAGACATGTTCCATTATGTCTGTACGGAGAATAAATTCACACGAAGACATAAGGTATATGATTCCCGAAGGTTACTTGCTAGGCCTATACGAAGATTAAATTCCCACGAATATGTTGCTTTCACCTCCACTTAAAAAGGTTTGGAGCCTGAGAATAGGGCCCGAGATGAATGTTTGTTTTGAAAAAAATTGAAATATTAGAAAACCATCAATACAATTATTTAATTGACAAAAATAGTAATCGATGGTAAATAACAAGGTTTGAAAGAATAAATTATAATCCAAACTTACAATTTTCACTTAAGAAGACAACCATAAATCAATTTTGGTCTAACTCTCTTACTTATCCCTAGTAGAGTCGCCAAGATGTCTTAATCGTCATTCGGGTGGTCCTGGGATTGGGTTCTGACTTGAATTGAGTGTGTTGGAGCCGCCACCGATCAGTTTGGAATTAGGTTGACCGGACACATTAACTTACCATTTACCTTATCTGCGTTTTACCAAAAATTAATCAGAATCAAGAGTCTGTTACAGTCAAGGAATGATTAACACCCTTGTACTGCCATTTCTGTACCAATTTGATTTTCTGGTTGTCTTAATTGCTCAAATTAAAAAAAATTAAATATTCGAACCGAATTATTTACCTTTGATGAATTTAAATTGCCCTAAAAAGGTCAAATTAATGTTAAACAATAAAATAAAATAAATACTAAATTAAAAAATAAATTACAAAAGGATTAAATTGAAAGAATTAAAAAATTAAAGGGTCAAATTGATACTAATTGAAAGCTGCAATGAAAAATAAAAATTTAGGGGGTCAATTTGTAAAATATGAAAAATATAATAAGGGATCAAATTGAATAAATTCAAAATTCAAAGGCAAATCTACAACAGATGACCAAAATGAATTACGCATCAAAGGTATATGGACTGAGAAAATAATTTAAAAATCTTGTAATTACAAAATTTCCCTTATATAAAGCCCAAAAACCACAAAATTAAATCATTTCAACCATTTCCCAAATTTATAACATCCCTTCTTTTAAAACTCTCTCAACTCAACTTCAATCGGCCAAAAAATTCGGCCACCGCCTCCGGTGGCCGGAAAAAAACAAACTTACCCAACCCGAAGCCAAAATTGAACCCCAAATTCAAAAAAACCCAAACGACATAGATCTAGGATTAAAGTATCAATTTTTTTACCTTTAAATCATCGACTCTTCGAGTACTGCGTCTTTCCTTTTCTGATGAGGCTTCTATGTGTTTTTTGATGAAGGCTTTTAATATTTTTTTGTGATTTTTGCTTGGTTATTTTGTTCTTGCTTTGTTATGCGACCACTTGGGTTTTTTTCAGTCTTTTGCTCGTTTCTCTGTTGGTTTACTCTGTTTCTGTCGTGCCCCTTGATGGCTTCATCGGAGACTTTTTATAGCCTGGATTCCAGCCATTGTAGCACCGAAAGGGGTAGGATTTCCATCCGATTCCTTCGCTAGACATCTGGCCAAGTGTCGTTCGTGTGAGTTGTTACCTCGATCTTGCAATTTTCCAACCAAAAATCTCGATCGGTTTTCGAACCGTGCTAGCATGTGGCCTCCATGTGCATTGTCACCAACCGCTTAGTCTCTCCATGAAATGCCCTTGATAGTTTAGGGTTTACACAACCCTAACCTACCTACTAAATTAGGTCTGCTTGCTCGGTTGGGTTGCACTCTAAACCGTTGGACTTGGACTGCACCCTCATTTTGGACCTGGAATAATTAAACAAATAAATAAATATATAATATATAAAATAATATAGTAAATAATAATAATATATAAATGATATTATATACTATATATATCGTAATATATATAATAATACTATAATATAATACTAATATATAAAAATATATGTATACTATATACTATATAATATATAATATATACCATATAGATATATAATATATATAAAATATCATACCATATAATATATACTATATAAAATAATATATATAATATGATATAATAAAAAGGAACCCTAACAAAAATGAATGTCTACAAATATTAAATTCTGATGTGAATTCAGAATAATCCCTCCTCTTTCTTTTTAAAAAGATTAAAAAAAAGAGTTAGATTTTCTATTGCCTATAATTTTTCCTCAAAAAGGTCCTACGATGGCCAAAATTAACTCAATAATGATGATGTCAAAAATATTTGAAAATATATAATTTATTTTAGGATATATGACATTGTTTTGAAATTTGTTAGATCCATTGACAAGTTTTAAAATACTATAGTAAATACCATAAATCCTAGAATATATTTATAGATATCATATTTTATTAATTAATTATTCTTAAAATATTATTTAGGGGTAAATAAAACTTTACTTAACTTGAAAAATCAATTTTTTTCAATTCGACTCGAGAAAACTCGACTCGAATTGATTTCGAGTTGTAATTTCATAAACTCGATTCGGAAAAAATTCTAATTCAAATCGAGTTGTAAAATACAACTCGATTAACTCGAATATTAACTCAAATAACTCGAAATTTTTAGTAATTAGTGGATTGATTTTTAAGTTTAAGTCGTGTATCTCAATTTTATATGATATATATATATATATATCACATATGGAAATAATATGAAAAAAATATATATGTATTTTATATATTTATAAAAATCATTTAAATTAGAATCAAATAATATTATTTATAATTTAATTTTAACAGAAACTCTAAAATTAGACTAGACTCAAAAAAATTGTAAGTCAACTTAAAATTATAAAATAATACTCGTCAACTCGAATAATTTAAATTTTTTAACTGAAGTCGATCGGACACTCACGCCTAATATTATTTGCCTGATTTCCGCAATACGATGGGATCCCTTAAACGTTGTAAAGTGAGAAAGTGTGAAGAAAGCCTGAGTTTTCGCTTTAGGCCCAAACTTGATCGGTAGCCCAACGGAATCGGACCTCGTTTCTGGGACCCCATCAAATACCCGCCAACCCAAATAAGCCCAAAGCTTTAAATCTCCGGCGCACAGGCCTGCTTGCCTCCGCTTACACAATGGCCTCTAAGATTTGTACGTACTGCACGCCTCCGCTCGCACACCGCCGCTCGCCGATCGTTTTCATGACCGGCACATACTCCTTTCTACCCAGTTACTCTACCCGAGGTCCGACACTGAGGATAGTTTCTGTACATTCTAACAATCATTGCTCTGGGAAATCCGTCATTACGTCTGAGACCGCCTCCGCCATTGATTTTCTAACATTGTGCCACAGTCTCAAGGTATAAATGATAACGTAAATTTGTACCGTTTCTTTCTCTTTCCTTCCAGTCTTTTAATTTCTAACAACTTTACTAATGTAATTAAAGACTTTTTTTTGTGGGATCTCGGATTTTGCATTGTTTTTAGCCCTTAGTACTGTTGTTCATTGGATACATTGAATGAAATTTATCAAAAAAAAAAAATTAAAGACGTTCTGAGTGAAGATTTTGAGCTCAACAATTTAATAGAACTATTAGTTGTTTAGATACCAAGTAAGACTGCAGCCGGCTAGCGCAAAATTAGAAATTTAAACCCACCTTTCTATCTCGTAGTTTCCAGTTGAATCATGCAGAGAAGAAAAGATTATAGTTACGGATTAATTTTTTTTTCATTGCATAGACCACAAAAAGGAAGGGTTGGATCAATCATGGGATAAAGGGTCCTGAATCAATTGCTGACCATATGTACCGCATGGCGTTGATGGCTTTGATTGCTGGTGACCTTCCTGGTGTGAATAGAGAAAGGTTCAATCTTATCATATCATATGATCAGGGCTCTTGCTCTTTATTAGTTTATTAACTTCCAAATTTGTAAATGTGATTTAGTTTTATTTATTTTCATTCATGGTAATTGAGGGAAATTTTAGAAGATTTAGCTTATTAAAGAGGCTTAGATGAGTTTACTGATAGATATGTGAATTTATATTCTTGTTTTTTTTTTTAAAAAAAAGAACTTTTATTTGCTTTCTGCTTTTGTTGAATGTTATTTCAGTAAGCTTTATGTCTTTTTCCTTCTAACTTTTGCAGATGTATCAAGATTGCAATTGTCCATGATATTGCAGAAGGTATTCTCCTATGTCCGTATCTTCCATCATAATCATTAGTGTACTTCAAGACTTCAAGTTTGGAATAGCCATCCTGTATAAATATTCATGATGTTAAAATCAGCAACGTATAAGTTGTTTTCCTAAAAAGAAGGAAAAGGGAAATCTTTAAATTAGGTACCGTAAAAGATTTTACTATGATAATCTAGATAGTTGACAATGTTGAACTTTTAGAACCATCTTAGTGATTTTCTTACATGCATTTCTATGAGTTTTGTTGTGTTATTGGTTTTTATTTTGGTTGTGGGGATGGGGGCGCATTTGAGCAGCCACATTATCTGATTCTATGTATCGATGCACATGTGCCCTGCACAGACACACAAGCTTCAACTTACAGTTTGAGTTTTGAGATCAGATTTTCAATTTTGACAGCTATTGTTGGAGATATAACACCATCATGTGGTGTGCCTAAAGAAGAAAAAAGAAGACGTGAACAAGCAGCATTAACTGAAATGTGCAAAATTCTGGGTGGAGGAATGAGAGGTACTCCCCAGCGAATATTATATTTGGGAAATTTGAGTTTCTAATCCATTTATTTTATTGATTTATCTTAATTTGGTATTATTTTTATCTGCAGCCGAGGAAATCCAACAACTGTGGGAAGAATATGAAAATAATGCTTCTCTAGAGGCTAACCTTGTGAAAGATTTTGACAAGGTATGCTATGTGATCGAATTCATGTGTCTGTGCATGCTCAATCACACACAAGTTTTTTACCTGAAAGATGATTTTTTCGTGGAAAGTTAAATGTCTTAGCTTTTCGGTTGTTATGAGTGTTAACTGGATATGCCTCTCCAATGAATCTTTCTCTCAGAACTTGTATTTGGGATAATCTTACATTCTAAATTTCTAAGATGCATCTGGTATGTGTTTGTTCTTCAATCTGTAAAGACTGGCTGACTATATCTTCACAGGTTTGGTTTTTAAAAACCTTCTTTCATCCGAGGATGGGACAAGGAAGCAAATGGAGGTTGGGGATACCGGGGTTAACAAAATAGCAGATACATGAACCTAGAAGTTCTCGTAGATTATTATATTGACATTTTTACCTTATATTGTTTCTATGATGCAAACTCAGTATGAGTATCTAATTTTGGTTGCATTAATGCTGCGGGCCTGTGCTTATCTGCTTTCTATCCCATACCGGCATATATAAATATAGAACTATTAATATTTCTTCTCTTTTATTGAATTTGTTTTCACAACCAGGTTGAATTGATTCTGCAAGCACTGGAATATGAAATGGGTAAGAGGTTTTATTTACTTAGTTCTGGTTAAAAATGTGAATGGTCTTGATAATTTTTTCTATATGATTATCTAAATCTATTCTTTGATATCATGATACAATTGCAGAACATGGAAAGGTGCTGGATGAATTTTTCCTTTCAACACAAGGTAGAGTAGCTTATTTGAAGCAGGATGTAATATGGAATACCATGGTCTTTTTTCTTCTTACTGCCAGTTCTCTTATGCTTCCCTATGATTTGTTCAGGAAAATTTCAGACTGAGATTGGAAAGAGTTGGGCGAAGGAGATAAATTCGAGGAGAAAATCACTACTGGCTGACAAGACAAAACGTTCTAATTGACAAAATGGATTAGTGTCGGATATCATTATCATATAGTATCAATCAAAATTTCATCATCCGGATATACACCATCTTAACCAAGGCTTGGGGACTTGGTGGTGGAAGGCAAGCATTTTGTGGTCGGTAATATGTGCGTGTGTTAAGTTCATCGGAGAATTTTTACTTTGTTGTAGGAATGCAAAGTGATTTCATTAGCATGTTTGGGAATAGAGGAAGCTATACACTGGTACCCGTAATGTCAGCAACAAAAAATCATTTTGGAACTATCTTACTTGGTTAACGCCTGTGCAATGAACCAAATGGTCAATTTGAATAATAACTGTCATAATGTCTCACTCGAAGATTCATTAGAATTAAAAATTAATTCGGGAAAAAAGCGATGAAATTTAGTTTGAAATAATTTGATTTTGGAGTCGCCATCAACCTTTACGTTAAGTAGGTCAAATACTTAAAATATCATCTTAATGAGTTTAGAAAAATCATTATAAGATAAAAAAAAAATGGTATGTGTTTTATCAAAATTCATTTTTAAGAGTTTGAGAGTCGATTACGTGTAGGGAAGGGTTACAAACTCGAATATATATATTTAAACTACAATCCTTCTATTCATTCAGATTTATTTTTAAAAAATGTCATTTCACATTGAGAAGTTCAACCGAGGTAGCTACCCTTCAAAGTTAGGATACTAACTTGTTAGTTCTCTCAAACTAAAACAACATTGCCTTTGTAAATATAGAAATAAGAATATGATGACAAATAATAAATGCAGTGGGCAAAATTTAAAGAGAACAAATATATTTTTATAGAATAAAATTATTTATATAACCCAAAAAAATTATTATTATTTTTTAAGAAAAATCATATCGTTTTGTACGAACGATCCTTGAAAATACACTTTTTTTATAGTTTGAATATTTTTTTTCATGTATCTTCCTCACAAAAGGGTGTTTCTTTAGATTTTAAGTAACATATATATTAAAAATAATATTTAATATAGAAGATAAAATAGTATATAAAAAAGCCATAGAAATTGTATATAATAAGATAAACATATAAGACACAAAACATGTCGTACATGTAATTTTAAAATGTCACACGTTGCATAAATATATAAAAAATATAAATTTATTCTACATATAGCATATATAAGCCTATATTAGTAAATTAAAATAGTATAATATAATATGTATACGTACGTATAAAATAAGTAGTGATATAAATATACATACCTGGTAAAAATGTTAGGAAACAAAATCTAACTATACAAAAATTAAATTATAGAAGTAAAATAAACAAACAATGAAACATAATAATTAAAGGAATAAAATTAAAGCTCTGAAAAATAAAGAGACAAAAATAAACGATTAGAACATTAAAGCAAGTAAAACATAAATACTAAAATTAAATAAAGAAAATAAAAATACATAAATTTTAAAGTGCATAAAATTAAATAACATAAATAAAATGCAATAAAAATAAAATGCCAATATCGAATTTTATTATTTATCATGGATCGTAAATAATGCGAGTCATACACCGAGGCGAGTCATCGCAAGGTCGTACGATATTTGGAACATAAAATAAATAAATAAGTAAAGAAATAAATAAAAATTAGTGGTTAGTGGTTAACAGTTAGAAATGTTAGCTGTTAGAAAAGTTAGAGGTTAGTGGTTAGCAGAGTACGTACCAGACGGATCGTACCCCGGATCAGGTCACCACAAGGTCGAATCGAATATGAGAAATAACAATAAATAAATAAACAATGGATATAATGCAAGAAAATAAAAGTCAATGGTTAATGTGCGATAAAATAAAAGTTAACAGTTAATTCGAAATAATAAAAATGCATAGATCAGTGACCAAATTAAAATAAAGCAAAGAAGGGGGTTAAAATGATAATAAACAACACAAAAAAGATGCATGGTGACCATAATGTGAAAGCATTATAGAAATAGAGGGACATATGGATGATTAACCCTTAAAACAAATACGAGAATGTAAAAAGAGTAGAAATAGGGAGGGCTTACACACAATTTACCCAAAAATTTTAAAAGACCCCCTTAACCAGAAAATACGTGAAATGCTATCTGCCTCATCTCTTCTTTTTCAGCGTGCAATATTCCTCCAAGCACCCAGCCCAAACATTGTTGGCTCCGCTTAACCGTCGCTTAACTACCATATTTCGATGTAACTCGGCTCTCTGACCTCCGGGTAAGGACATAAACCAAACCAAGTTCTTAACTTTGTCATATCTTCAACAAAACTTCAACCCAAAGCCACCTTGATCGCATCGACGCCGTAAATCGACAGGGACCGACACCGTAAATTAGCGGAGACCAACCCCTGACCACCATCCTTGGTGGTCAGACCTTATACCTAAGCTAAAGTAAAGAACCCTTTTTCTATTCACTATATCGAGATCTCCAAAAGGGCATAATCGTCGTTCGAACCACCCTAAATCGGCGACCAATAACCACTCACGCTCCTCCCCGACACATGACGATCGATGACCGACCCAAACTACCACCCTCCCACATTTTACATATTAATGCTAAAAAAATAAATATGAAAAAAAACGTGAAGGGGAGAGAGAGCCCCCACATTGTTCTCTATGATTTTTTATTAACTTTCTAATTTTTATACAAAAAAGGGGTTTCTTTGTTTTTTATTCTTTGATTTTATACCCCCTCAAAGTTATAAATGGTACAATTGTGAATTTGGTCCCTGGACAAAATTAGGGTAAACATTTTTTAAAACTCTTTTAATTGATCTTTTTCAAATTTTGAAAATAAAAGAAGAAGAAAAACATTTTCAAACAAGGAAATCTCTCTAGAGTATATCTTGGTAGTTGACACATATCTCCCAAACATAGAAGCTCATGCTTAGAATCAATACTGGAGCAAGAAATGATAAATGTTGGGGCATTATTGAAGGCCCATATATCCAGGAATATAAGATCATTGAATTGAGCATACATTTATTTTCAATGAGACAGAAATGTGTGAAGACTGAAAATGGTGAAGCAGATACAGTGGAGCTTACTATATATGGTTGTTTTGTCAACCATCACAACAAAGGATTTGTCATGCAGTAATGTTGAAGCCACAAAAAAATGATGAATGCTTCTTGTACCAGTAGTTAGGAAGTTGAGCCAATGTTGAGTTCATAAGGGGTTTCTAAATCCCAATTGGGAGGTTGTGATTTATCTGTGCCAAGATCAAAAGTGGATAACGAGAATTCTCTTTTCACTAAATAGGTGACATAACTTTGAAAAAAAATCAACACAAAGCTTGGTGAGCTGAATTCGATGTTAGAAATTGAGCAAACACATTCAATTTTGATTTCAATTGCCTCTATGGCTCCAACTACCATCCTTAGTATGGATGTATCGTAGAACTTGTCAGAAAACACAAATGTTTTGTCAGTTTTTGTGGTAGGATGAAAGCTTTATTGGATTTTTACACAAGTTCAGGAAAGGGAAGCCAAATTTATCAGGGGTAAAAAAAATTGTTGGGGCAAGAAGAAATTGACACGAGTCAAGAATTGCAAAGATGCACGCTGGTGCAAACAAAGAGTGAAGACATCTAAATTAGGGATAGAATGAAGCCATTCCCATGATAGATCAAGAAAACATGCATCAACATAAACATATACGTCTCATGAATTTTTACATTTGCATCATACATTCACCATCACAAGCAATAAAAAGTTTTCCCCCTCTCGAAAGGATGCTTTTATAATCACTTTTGAGAAACTAATTTCATATTTCTCAAGATTGTTCTTCTAAGAACATCAATCTAGTCTTTCTTAATGTTGTTTTCCCTGAAATCCTTATTTTATTTTTCTTAAAGGCCATTTTTCTCATCTCACGAGGACATCATCTAATTTTCTTTTCTCAAGATCATTTTCTCCTCTCATGAGGAAAAATTCAAAAAGTCATTTTTATTAAAATAAAAATCAAATGCATGAAATAAACTTCATGTTGACATTCATAAAAACATCCAAGATTGTCATTCATAAATGCATTATTTTTTTATAGATCTTTCAGGAAAGAAAAGTTTGGTGATGATTAGATATCCTCAACATGAAAGAACAGTGTTGTTCACATATTTGACATCCTGAAGTGAACGATCAGATCTTCTAAAGGCAACTAGATCTCCTCAACATGTAGGAGCAAATTGTCTGTCACCTTGGAGATTATTTCTCTCGAAACAAAATTTAGTCTCGCTTGAGACATTTTCCTTTGAAGCCCAAATTTTGGAGTTGTTTCACTTGAAACAAAATTGATCTCACTTGAGATTATTTTCCTAAAAATGAATTTTGTCTCGCTTGAGACAATTTCTCTTGAAGCATAAACCTTTGAGATTGTTTCTCTCGAAACAAAGTTTTGTCTTGCTTGAGACAGTTTCCCTTGAATCCCAAATTTCGAAGTTGTTTCACTAGAAACAAAATTGAGCTGACTTGAGATTGTTTACCTAAAAACAAATTTCGTCTCGCTTGAGATAGTTTTCCCTTGAAACATAAATTTTAAAATTGTTGTCTCGAAATAAAATTTTATCTCACATGAGATAGCTTCTCTTGAAACAAATTTTCTTTCCACTCATTTATTTTCAATCAAATGTCGAATATTTGACAGGAATTCAAAGTCAGCAAAGACTTCGCTTCGCAATTCCATGTTAAAGAAGAATATTTCATTTCAAATCAATCATTGGAAACTATGACTAGATATTCTCAACGAGAACGAGCAATGTCATCATTAGGGTTGACACCAAGCAACAATTAGCTCTATTCAATATGAAGGAGCAATGTTGTTTTCAAAGTCAAACTATCTTTAGACAATTAGACTTCCTCAGCAAGAAGGAACAACATTATCTTCAGATTCACAATCCTTCAAGAACGACTAGTTTTCCTCACCAAGAAGGAGCCATGTCAAATCAAACTATCAAAGTACGATTAGACGTCCTCAACACGAAAGAAAAATGTCATCCACCGACCAGATCTCCTCAACGTGAAGGAGCAGTGTCATACTTAGTCAATTAGACTTCCTCAACGTGAAGAAATCATGTTATCTTTAAATTATCCATATTGACCCGATTTCCTCAATGAGAAGGAACATCGTCATATGAAAGCGGCTATAACTCTTTGTTGAGTTAATCGATTGACGAAATCGGCCAAGAGGGGGGTGAATTGGCAATTAAAAATTTCGGTG